TCTTATATCTAATCTAAATGTGCCCTCTTTCAGTTTAAAGCCATTGCCCCTTGTCCTATCACTACACGCTCTTGTAAAAAGTCCCTCTCCAGCTTTCTTGTAGGCCCCCTTTAAGTACTGGAAAGCTAAATAAAAGATATAAAAATACTGAATCACTTACACAGCAGAACTTAGGAAAAAGCAGGCACAACCGTTACGTTGACAATTAAGTTTTGAGGAAAAATCAGTTAAAAACAGCTAGTGTGTTATTATGATAAAAGTTAACTCTAGAGATGTAATTATCCAAGAGGCACTGGTTTAGCAGAGAAGACAGTCTCACTTATAGCCTACTCAAAAGAGGTGGGCAAACACATACTCATTAGAGATAGTAAAATTCAGAGCAGCTGTTCCTACCTGTCTTGCTGTTGGAAAACGTTCTGTGGGAACGATATGGAGGTGAAGTGGTCGAGCTGTGAGTTGGCTGAAAGCTGGAGTTAGCTCAAAACAGTTCTGAAACAGGGATACCCTTGCAAAGATATAAAGCCCAAGCCTGGCTCTTGACATGGCAACAACTAATCGTCGGACATCCCTTCAGAAAACAAACAAAATCCATCATAATCATCATGTTCTTTTCACTGATGACATAGTTCCAATAAAAATAACTAGAAGTATATAGAAGTCTTAACTAAAGGAAATACAGAATCATCTGCTAGAATACTATTTTGTCTTTAGGTTTCTTCCTAACATACTGTTTCAACAACCACCAAATCCTAGAAACATTATATAAAAGAGGGTTCACTGTACCGATAATGATACGAAAAATCACCCTTTACTATTTTCCCAGACTTCAGAGGTAAAGATTTACATTAAGAACGAATCACAATAGCATTTCTGTATCCCTGAATAAGTAAACATGAGTGTGATAATTGATCTAACTACTGCTGAACAGACAAGTCTTCCTCCACCCCACCCTGAAACTGAAGCACAAGTGTTTTAAACTATGCATCATAATGCAACTTCTGCAGCAATCAAACACTTCTGATACAAAACAAGTAAAAAGCTCACTTATAGGAAAGAATCTATGAGAAAGTTTAAGCCTGCATTTGTTCAACAAGCATTACAATCCTATCGTTCTATTAGGGCGAAACCAAGTTCAGTCTATCTGCAGTAATATAAACTAACTATAGTATAACAGCCATTACTAAAGGATAAAGTGGTCGTGAAGAGGGTACCAGACAGTTATAAAAGGAAGTATGTCTGAACTTCATTCAATAGATAGCATTAAACTTTCTACTACATACTCAAATAATTGAACACTTTCATACTTCTGATACACAAAACACGTAGCTTAATGACACTACAAATTTCTTCTTACATACCTAAGGTGGCCCACAGCTTTGGTACGCACTAATGAAAGTAGAATATAATCATTTTGTTGACCTTGAAATCTGTCCACAGTTGTTACCTAGAGAATCAAAACCAAGAAAAAAACTCCATGGGTTAATCTCTGCCATTCCAATTAAAACATGACACCAAAATTTTAACATCAACTTTGGATCGAGATGGCAATAAATGGGAAAAGAAAATGCTTTAACTCTGGTTTAGTTGACCTCTAACAGAAAATCATCAGCCTGTTCTTTTGGGGAGATGTTGGGAGGAGCTTTTGTCTAAATGTATACTGATTCCTTTACATTTTTATTCAATTCAGACAGCTAACAGTGGGATGCCAACACCAAAAGATTGTGGAAAGCCATCAGTTTTATAATGAAGAGTTTTAACATGCAGAAGTAGCACTAACCTTTTATAACTATGTTTTTTGTTTGTTTCGTCACATTTGTCATCATATGTTTTATCAAATAATTTCCACTCTGGGTGGATCTTTCCAAAGGTGTGGGTTTTGGGGTGTTTTTTTTTTTTTTTTTTTAGGACAAAAATAAATTACAAAGAACAGGGTTATTCTGTCCCATGTAACCTGTAGCCTTTCCAGCTTCACTGACTTCAGTTTGTTTGTATGTCAAATTACCAACAGGCAGAAATGAGGGCACTACTGTATGAAATTTCATAGAACACAGATTAAGGAATGTGTAGTTAACCAGAGAATGCTTGCACAGAAATCTGTGAATCTATTCAATTAGCCTGTATATAAAATTTATATTATTGACAATTTAAAACCAAACAAACCAGAACCACTTCAATGACTGATGTATTTTCAAAGTCACCTTGTTTGGCCGTCCAATCAGTGGATTATTTCCACACCGCTGATTAATGACATCACGGATTAGGTGTTTCTGTCCATTGTAAGTTGTCAGGATACTTATCTTGTCTGCAGGATAACCAAGCAGGCACATATACATGAAGAGTGCTACAACATACTCTGCTTCACCAAGATTCTTCAGTTTAAAAGAGGAGGGGGACAGGGGAGAAGAAAAAAAAAAAAAAGAAAAAAGAAAAGATGACGTTACTCAACTTGTAAGGTTGGAAAGAATAACATCTGTGACATTATCATGTATTTAGACAAAAATCTCTGTGCTGAAAAACATCTGTAGATCTGATCTTACTTTGCTCACTTAAAAGCCATTTTGAAAGAGGCTTTGAAGAACCACAAGTTAAACCACTTCATTCTGATTCCTCTTCAGATAATTGCCGAAATCTCTACATCAATATTATTGTTAGTCATTGATTGACACTTTCCAGTATCTACGCAGAAGCTCCTAGTTTTATTTCAATAAAAGACTAAAATCTAACTATTTAATAGTCCATTTAAATTATATTTTTAAGCTATTAAATACTTACAAATTTGTATATAAATGCATTGAAATGCTTATAGCTGTCTGCCCAATGAAACTGCCGCCTTAACTGTATTATTAAAGAACTCAATCAATATAGTATTTTGTTTTTCCTTCTTAAAGGTCACATGTCAAAAAAAAAAATCAACTGTTATGTAAAACTGTGGAATTATTATTGGTTAAAAAGTATTACAGATAGTCTACAGATACCTGTATTTAAATACAAGGGTTTAAAAAGCACTTAGCATCAATTTAACATGGTTCCAAATAAGCATGCAAAAAAGTTGCAATGACTCACACTCCAGTAAGCTGAAAGTAAGAACTAGTTGAAGCAGAATAACTAAACTCCTTTCAACTATTAACTAGGAGAGAGACATCTGGATTATTAAATCCAGTTATTTACGAGGCTGTACCTATTCAATTTCAAATGACCACCTGTTATTTTGTATTTCATAATTTTTTTCTGTGCCATTACTAATAATAAACGTCTGTCCCAAAGCATCACTCTTCTGGCTGTAGGAAGTTTTGTCCTATTTCCAGACTGAAGCTATTCATAGTCTGTTTAAATCTCTTTTCCATCAACAAAAATTATCTTTCAGGCTAAAAAGTTATTCTCAATTGCTGATATTTATTGCTGCTCTATTTATACCGGGAATCTTATCTCCACTTGGTGTATGTTTGACTAGGCTAGACATACCAGCCTCCTTTATTTCTTCTTATTTAGTGGGCTCTGCATTGCTTGGAAAATGCAGTTGCTACACATACCAAACACCTGTGGGCGTAAAGCTATTCTACAAATCTTAATCCTCCTTAAATCTGGAAAGAAATGCCCAAATTCATAAAGAGAGAAATAAAACATGGCAGGAATTTGTTGTCTCATGAAAAACCATGCAAAGTCACCAACGTGCTTTGCTAATATCTCTCCAATCTCAAGATCATGAAAAAATTAAATGTAAGACATAGTACAAGTTTGCTCATGAAAGCACTGTTTTAATGATAAAGGTGTTGGGTGTCCTTGCGTGAGGGTTCTCAGTCATCTTTGGCCCAGGGGCAGACTAAAGCAGGGCTCCGATTCTCAGTTACCAGAATCCTCCTCTTAAGGCACTACTTCCAGCTGTTCCACTGAACAAATTTTTAGTACTTGTACACTACAGTGTTACAGCTTAAAAAATAAAATCATAAGCAACTCTTCCCTCCAGACAACCCTGTCCTCTAACTAGGAATGAGATGTAGTGGATTATGAATTGCCTTGGCTTTGTTCATTAACAGCACACTACTTTGTATTTAAAAAACAAAAAAAGCGAGAGAAATCCAAGCATAAACTACGAATGTCTTTCATACCTTTAAAAAATAGATTAATTTAACTCTCAATGATCTTCACAGGGAAGAAATGAGCACAAATGTTATCATCTTAAAGTATATTGTTTGCTTTCCATAATATTTCACAAAATATAAGATGTTAATTCCATGTTTGAATTAAACTCATGAACTTGCACATAGTTCCAGCCTCTAACTTTGCCAAAATCCAAACTGGTAATTTAGGCACCAGTTTGTTTCCATCATAGCTTTTGAAACAAGAAAAATAAGAAGACTGAAAATATAAGTACCTCATTACAAGCATAAAAACTTTTCCTATATTTAAGAGAAATAGATGGAGGCTGTTGTTGCTGCATTAATTTGAAATTTTAGTTGAGAAATTCCAAGGCTAAGTTTTTTTTGGCAATTTATTTCAGCCTCAATGTCTCTCTCTCTCATGTATATTTCTTGCAGCACTGTTTCATTCTTTTACAAATAGGTTTTTTAAAATTCTTACATATAGATCAAATCAAAACAGTGATTCCTCAAACTCAAATATGTGCTACAGAGCAAACTTTGATTCTTCATGTATAGGGGAAACACGACCATTTATTTCACTATCTTGGCAGTACACCTGAATTACAATGGACTTTTGCCACAGGCCAAAACAATGTTTCAGAATGAAACATACACCAAATCTCACCCCTCTCATAACATTGAGAAAATACAGATATTAAGCAGAGTCATTCACTTTGAGCAAAATGCACAATGTTACCATTTTCAATATTAAAAATTGATTAAAAGGAAAAAAAAATCACGTATACACATGACTCAATTATCTGAGAACATGAATTAAACATCGGTTTACTGTATTTTGATAGTCTGTCTTCATTGCAGGTTTTATAAGCAACATCCGGATTAAGTAAAGTATATGTGTAATATTTCTCTTACCTGATAGAAATAAGGATTAGGTTCAGACTCTCCCACACCATTGAAGTCTTCTACGTTTATAAGCTGGAAGTCGTACAAAAACCCAGCATTGGCTGTTCTGAACTCTGGCAGAAGCTGCACGTGAGGCAGGTTACCCAGATTCTTGTAACGCCAGTTGTAGAGGTTACATAAACTGTCCAAAACCAGAGACAAACCCCAAACAGTTAAAGTGGGTTCTTGAACTCATTCAAAATAGTTCAGATACACACAACCTCTCGCTTCAAAGATGAATGTTTCTGTATGTTTTCAATTAAAAAAATATTGCTGGATAACTTGTACAAGCTACCCAATAATTATTTTTTAAGTTTTGATCCTGCTTGGTTGTCACAGAAAACTTCAGATTTCATTTCTTTTTAGAAAGGTCAATGCAGCACACTTACTCTTAAGCCTGTTATACTCGATCAGCTCTACACTTGAAGGGTACAAATTTTGCAAAGAAATCTAGTAGGAATTCTCACAAGAAACAAAACTTGAGGAATATTAATGCTTCTTTACAAAAAGGAAGGAGTAAGGGAAAAAGGATTTTCTGCATTATCTACTGTAAAGCCTCAGACTGCAAAAAGAAATTTATTTTCTTATTTTGTGTATTACCATGTATTAATACGAGACATGAAGGGGAGCAACCAAAATCTACACCATTCTGAATCATATCTGGTATTTATAGGGACAGAAATTAACCAAAATGCCTCCATCAGAAATGCATAATATCATCCAGACCAGATAAAGCAGCAGATAGTTCATGGAAAGCTACCTATGATCAGAAAAGACAAAGCACAGGAAGGTATGAAAAAAATCCTTGATCAAGAAATTCCTTGCAAAGTGAAGGAATTCTTCTCCTCTCTTATCTCTAAGTTCTCTGAGCTGTTGCAAAATAGTAGATGGAAAAACAAACTTCATTTATAATCATACTCAGATAAATTTTTTGTTTTTAAAATCATACTGAAAGTAACTTATTCATATGACTAGAAATTCTACCACTTCTAATGTTTCTTACATGTAAAAAAGTTCTCCTTGACATTGCTCATTCCACTTCATGCATAAAAAAAATAGGATTTAAAACTAAGCTTAAAGTAGCAAGATTTTATATGAAGTCATTTTCTCTTATTTTATTTTTTCTTGTTAATATGACACCACAAACATGCACTTTACACAACAAATAAATTTGACATCTAAATTACCACAACGAAATGACAAATACGTGGATAAAAACAAAGTTACCTTCCTACAGAGAAGCAGTATCTCTCTTAATATGAAAAAAAAAAAAGACATTATGCTCATGTGTGGACAGACTCGTCGTCTCAAATCAATCAAAGCTGAAGCTACACTACAAAAAAAGTACCCTTTTGCAGACCATAAGGGAAATACTATATATTCAAGGCTAAATAAAGAAAATAAAGATTTTCTTTATTTAGCCTCGAATATATTAAGTATATTAGTTTAGAAAAGGAAGCTTCTGCAAAAAAAGCTCAGTTGTAAAAAACCAAACACTTAAGTCTATTAAAATTCCTTTAAATAGCATTTTCATTAAAGTATTCATACGGTAGCAGAGTATCACTATACATATAAAAAAAAGAAAATAAAACTGATGGCACTTCAGCGAAATAAAATCTGACTTCCTAGTCTAAGCTGAAACAAATGGAACACAACAACTAAATTACAGTTTTGCAAACTCTTGTCCTAACAATAGGATAAAAAGTTTCCAATACTATGTGTCCTTTTCCAATTTTTAACGTAGTATTTTCTTACAAGCTAGACATGCCACTTTTTCCATCTCACCTTGCTCTTGCTCGTCCTTGTGCATCCAAATCAACAGTTGGCACTCCAACACGAACAAACCGTGTAAAAAGAGACTGCTCCATGTTGGAGTATTTTTGAAAAGCCATGTTCTTAATGACTGGTGGCAACTGATGATGGTCACCAATCATAATCCACCGCTTCAAACGACTGAATCCATCCTGGGGATTCTAGAATTAAACAATTACACAACTAAAACTATTACAATATAACCGAGGCACTCAATCATAACACACAGATAGTCAAATTGGCTGTGTTAGTCTAAGCCCTAAATTTAAATATTTGTTCTTAAGCTACACTGAACTGTGGTCATTTTAAAGACCACTACTAGTTTTTTTGCAATCTACTACCAGAAAAAGGGAGTAGTATTTTAAATGGTCTTGTTTCTTATAAAGCAACAAGCAAGTTTATCTATTAAAATCATTAGAGAAACATCAGGCTAAATATCATATTACATTGTTTTAAAGGCCAAATGTACATATTATCAGAAGACAAAAGGAAGAACCAATTATAGAAGTTACAGTAGTAACAAACCTGATTTCTACACAGTACTGTTACTCTAGAATAGTCTTCTGAACATTATTTTTTGGATTCTGATATAGTGAATATGAAAAGTCTGTAGGATCTGAAACAATTTTAGTGCTCATATGTCTGGAGCACAAACTGAGCCTGCTTGTCAAGTGTCTCTGTGGTTCATGTGCTTCACCTGTTTACCTCTGGAATTCCCGCGTGGCTTCTTTCATGACTAGGATGTGCCTCTAACTAAACCCTGGCTCTTGGACTGAATGCTCTTCATTATATTTGGTACATCCCTTTCCAGTTCCTCATCATACTTATTTATTTATTTATCATACATACTTATTTACGCTCACCAGCCTGATGCACCTGGTTATTCAATGCTCATCCAAGCACTTGAAAAACACTCTAAGATGCTGTTCATTATCAATGAAAAGCATGCTAAAGCCATGCAGGATTTATTCATTGCACAGCACTACAGTACAATGTTGTAGCACTAAATTCAAGACTGTTAAAATGTAAAAGCAACAACCTAAAGTACTGTATGTGTCTTTACGTACAGATATTTAAACACCTAATTGCAGGAGAAGCCACCTAAACGACAACTTATGCATCCATACCTTTCTGACGGTTAGGGGAACCTAACTAAGCAGCAAGAAGAAATCTTGTATTTCAAGTTTAACTAAATTGAATCTTGCTCTAGAAACTACAATCAGGATTCATTAAGCCTGCAGGACAGAGAAGTACCAAGTCTATTTCGCTGTATTATTATAACTGCTGAACTAATAAGTGAAAGGGAA